GATTTTGAAGAGTTAAAAGACATTGTGGAAGACAATGTTGATTATGATTCTGACACTTCGAGTAGTAGCAGCGAAATTATACTACCAAAGAGACGAAGAAAGAGAATTATTGAAAGTGAAAGCGAAGATTCGTTGCAAGACTTGGATGAATGGCGCGATGTTACGGAAGAATTACATATTCCAGATAGAATACCTTTTCGTGTATTGCCACAGGTCATTGGACCGCAAGTTCCTACAAACATTGAACAGCCGATACAATATTTTTAATTATTTTTCACGGGCGAATTGGTAAATGAAATTATAAAGGAAACCAACAATTACGCACAAAATGTTCTAAACTTGAAAGAAATATCTAGTAACTCTATTTGGCAAAGTGAATACTGCGACACTTGTCCAAGTGAACTCAGAAAGCACATGGGAGATTGTTGCCAAAGATATCACACCATGGTGAATTACAAAATTTAAAATTTATCTTTTATTTACAATAGGAAAATGTATATTTATAAAATAAATAAAATCAAATGCATTCACAAGGACTTTTCCGCTCAAAATAAGACTTCCTTTATCTCAGGCGCTCCGCTCCAAAAATGTGCCGGAGTTGCTGGTAGGCAGTACTCGAGAAACGCGCGGAGCGCTAAGGGTTAAAACGCGAAACTGTTTCATTTTCTATGCATGCACACAAACTTTTATCGCGTGGCAATCGAATCACGTAAATTTTCTTTCGACAATCAAGTAAAAACAAGTTTCAACATTAATTTTCTGTACAATTATATGCTGCCAATGAGATTTCGTGTTTCTCCAATTGTATCAAAGTTAGCTTATTTCTTGCATTGTCTTTTCAGTGTTTCGAGTATGTAATTACGAGAATGGAAACTGTACAAGACCGAATCGACCACTGACTTCTGAAAGAGAAAGCAGAGAGAGATAGAGAAAGATGTCATTGGACGTTCGTCTATCCATAAAGTCGAGAAACATCAGTGAATGCCGCTGGATCACAGCACGACCACGATACATCACACAGCGGCAGCCAGCATGGGAGTTTGCTCAGCTACTAGGCAAACAATCGCTCGTGGTATTCACGATCCGAAAAGCACTGCCGCCGCGCGTATCGGTCGAAAGAGTGTGCATACATCAAGTTTGTTTATATCTTAGCCGGGACCTGGGACCGGGGACGGGGCCGACGCGCCGGGGCATGCAACAATACAGCAATTTGGCTTCGACTGATACGGGATCTCACCCGGAGGCCCGAGGTGCCCTTCCTGTCCTGCCTTACCGTTACCGAGATAACAACAGCAATAACAATAACAGCATCGACGGACGAACGGTCCTCCCCGCTCTGTGCCGCCTGTCGCGCACTTTTCTACGAGCCATTTTTACTCGGCGTGAAAGTTCTGCGTTGTAAACATTCGTTCAAGTCTAAACCTCTTGCTCACGGAACGGGAACGCACTTCCATCAGCTTCAACCCTTTGCCGACCCGAAGTCGTTTTAACTCTAAATCGAAAATAGTTTTTCCGGCCAAAATAGTGTTTCCGTGTTAAACGGCTCAGTCTCTTAGCGTATTTTATGCATATGAAATTGAATCTTGCGACTCTCGTGCAACAGTTACAGTTTTAACAGTTTTTTTTTCAATTATAAACAAATTTGATAATGACACGTTTAACTAATATCTCCGATGATCGGGCGAAAAGTCACTGGTTAAACCATATTTCATAAATGTTGTAACGTTGAAATTTGTTTAGAGATTAAGTAATTTTTATTACAATCGAAATAAACTTGGCGCCGGTCATCTCGGAATCACACTGTTTAATTTGTGGTATTTCCGTGAAAAATTGTATCTACCACGATGTTTATACTATTATGATTTATAATATGAATGCGATGCAAGCACACAAGCTATGCGCATAAACAAAACAAGAATCGCATTTACTAAATTCTATACATCGCGGACTGTTTAAGAATCGTGGGATTCGCGTGTGCCATTCATGCATAAAATCTGCAGTCTCCTTACGACTGAACACAATGCGTACGCATTTCAAAATAAAATGCTCTTGACATTCAAGCCAGAAATGTTTCCAACAATCGTTCGCACAGATTCAGGGGAACAATGTTGCAGTGGCAACATCCCCCCAGATGGTACAACATTTTTAATCGATCTCCATATACATATAAAATTAGTATGAATAGTAAGACACAACGTTGTATAATAATGTCTCTCTAATTGACGTCCAGATAGCGCACAAAAATGGACAATTTGGGAAGAGGAGATACGATTAATTTGAGTCTTGCGCCCCGTTTTTATAATTACCGATTCTCAAAAACTATAAAAACGAGGCGCAAGGCTCGAATAATCGTATCTCCTCTTCCCAAATTATCCAATTTAGTGGACAATCTGAGCGTCAGTAAGGGAGACATTACTGTATTCACAGAAATAGGAACAATTTGGGAAGAGGAGATACAATTATTCGAGCCTTGCGGCTCGTTTTTATAATTGTTGACAATTCATAACTATAAAATAAAATACAAAGCGCAAGGCTCGAATAATCGTATCTCCTTTTCCCAAATTGTCCCAGTTTCTGTGGACAATTTGGGCGTCAATTAGAGAGACATTACTGTACAATTATTCGAGAGCTTGCGGCTCGTTTTTATAGTTAACAATTGTCGATAACTATAAAAATGACAATCTGAGCGTCAGTAAGGGAGACATTACTGTGCATCGCATTGTTAGATGCATTTTAACACTGAACCTACCAAGCAGTAATACTAACTGCCACGTACTGCTTCACAAAAGTGAGAAGACCGAATTTATTTGGAATTTGTAAAGTTTTTATTATCAAACTTGCTCCAATAATATAACTTATTCAAGCGTTTTCCACGAAAGAGTCTCGGAACTTTGCAGAATTGCAAAATAAGAAAACGGTCACTTTGACCGCGGTAGGTTTAGTGTTAAAGATCTGCTGCCGAATTTTCAGTTAACATTGGTGATCGGAATTGATTCTATACCAGTGCACTGGTTCACATCGGTGTTCATGGTGGCCCGGCTCCGTACACTCTACTCCTACTCTACCAACGAAACGTGCGAGCGCATACCTACATAACTGGTACACATGGACGCCGACACTGTAACCGTGTACCCTCTATTTCTGGAATTCGATGCGATCTCATCTCGACTTCGAAGCCGCCACGACGCGACCCCCGCGAAGAGGATCATTGATTTACTATGGGAGAGAGCAGAAGAGGAGGAATGGTAAACGCGGCTCGAAAAAACAGTGACCTGTTACGGTATAGAGCAACGATCCTAGAAATCAGATCTGCGAATGTACCGTGAGTAGAACCTTTCGTTTTCGTTATTATTCAATCTTTCATTTTCCCATAGAATTATGAAAAGCCTGTTCTAACGAACGCGCCTAATTTTGGCAAACAAGTTACATGTAGAACTTCTATAATTTTCGGGAAAGGTGGAAACGCGTGAGATTGTGATCTTCAATTTGAAGCTTAGAATCTAGACGATCAATTAAATGGCTGCTCACCCTGCTATGTATTCATGCAATATCCGTGAGAACTGTATCCTGTGATTGACACGAGTAATGTAATTAATTCGTGAATTAGTACTCACCTCCTTCAGGGGTACTTTGAACGGCAGAATTTTTGTACCTTTTATTACCGTGCCAAAAGGTTTGTATTCCAGCCACCTACGGCACAAAATATAAACACATACAGTGACACAGGACAAAATTTCAACACTTACCACACTTAACAACTTCTACACATAGATGTACAGTAGTGTCTCTCTAATTGACGCTCAAATTGTCCACAAAAATGGCCCATTTCAGAAGCGAAGACACGTTCATTCCAGCCTTGCGGTTTGATTTTATAGTTACGAATTGTCAACGATTATAAAAACGAGCCGCAAAGCTCGAATAATCGTGTCTCCTCATCCCAAATTGTCCATTTTTCTGGACAATCTGAGCGTTAATTAGAGAGACATTACTGTATCTAGCAGGTGTATCATAAAAAGTCTCTCGAAACATTAGATATTAATACAGTAAATATATATGGCTACGATCAAATATGTATATGCAGAATCAGTCCACCTGACGGACCTGTTGGACTAATTATACGATCAAGGCTACTATGCGTTCTGTTTACCAATTTGTTTTCTAACATCTGATGATATAGAATATATCATCGAAAATATTTAGTTTTAAAGCTGTTTTGGATGATATATCACAAATTTTCGTCACTTTTCTTCCCACTATAATATACGTATAATTCAACCTTTTAAGTATTCAATGTCTATTTATATCGAATAATTTGTTTATCTATTTCTCTGCAATACGTTTTTGCGTCGTGTCACATAACAATTAATTTTCTTCGTGGAATGTCAGGTGTTTTGGTATAAAGTTTTACAATAAATATCACACCAAGACTTCCTATTAATTACGTTATTGTCACGAGCGGATATATTGTAAATTAATTTAACACCGCCAATTTATACAGAATTAAGTTATTTGCTCTTAATTCAATGTCAGCCTTAGCGCATTTTTATTTAGTTAAGAAGAACGTACATTTTTCTAATAAATAATATAATATAATATAGTATAATATAGTATAATATAATATAATATAGTATAATATACTATAATTTCGAAAAAATATTTCAACTTCGATTGGCGGCTTCTTTACCATCCCTAACGTCTTAATGCAGCTTATCCTAGTTGTACGGGACAAGTGCATGTTGTTTGAATGAACCTGGCAGATGCAACAGGTGTTACAAATATGTAACGAAAAAAAGAATGTGTACCTACGCCAGAACAAAACAATAAAAGAGTCCGACTAGATATATACAAATATGTAAATGTGTAAAAGATTTCAATAATAGAAGAGGCGCCTTTATAAAACATACCTAACAACAATACAACTATTGTTCTTAACACTGTTTTGATACGGATTGTACAACCATATTTATGAAAATAAAAACTAGATATTATTGTATGGTAAGCTATAGCATTAAAATCATAATTTAAATATAAAAATGTTTTACATATGAAAAATATCAAATTGATTCAGTGTGTTATAGAAAAGTTTGAATACATGTATTGAAATTGGTATTATTTTTCAGACGCTCATTAGGTTATATAGAATTTTATTAACATGTTGATATCATGTTCTACATTACCGACTAAAATTATGCCGCAGCGGTTGGTCATACTAATTAAAACCAAACATGATTATAAACGTCATTTTAATATGTTTTAGAACGAATCCAATCATATTACGGACATAATGTTATTAGTTATTTATTCCTCACATTACTACCTAACCTAGACTGCATTCGTTTCGTTTCGTTCGATATGGTTCCAAAATTCTTGGATCTAAAGTGTAGAGAGCGCCACAATACCGCTGATGAAACCCCATCTCGTACAGCGATTAATCAATGTTTAATTTTTGTGAGTTTGTCAATTTCTTATTTTCATGATAAAAACATACCTGTTTCAACTTAAAATTCCAATTATTCTGTATTAAAGCTTACTATAGTATTTATTTTGTACGTCAGTTCCATCGGTATCAATCGGGAAAATGATGTGAGTTTCGATGAAAGATAAGCATGCTAACATTGTGATACTTTGCCCGGTAGTGTTGACAATTTGAAGTTAATGTACCTATTTGAAATAAATAAGAAAATGTAACATGTGACATCTATATTTCTCCTTGTAACCACAGGTATATGATGGTATAACGGCAGGTATACTGCTATTTGATTTTGTTTTACTTAGAAATTATTCAAAACATTTTCAGAAAACGAATACATACATGTATTGTCATTTAAGCGTAACCGCTTTACGCTAAAAGCGCGATCTCGCGGAGAGTTTTTTGAAATTTTACATGCTGCATTACAAAATATTAAAAATTTCAAACACAAAAATCTATGATATTAACGCTTCTCTCCATCAAAATATTAAAGAATGTTTCGATTTTCGTTTTCCAATACGCCACGTGACAAACTGTAAAAATCGATAACCAGAAGTAGGAAAAAACAGTGAACATTTATATTAGATATGCTTCAAATAAAACGCAGATTCCAATTCATACAACTGTCGGAACATTAAAAATATTGTACTCAGTGCGACTTCACCTTACACCGAAGAATTAAAAACAAGGAAAGTCGGCATGACATAACCTCTACACAATGTGACCTCCGATTAAGATCGATAAACAAGCAAGTTTAAATGTTTGTTGAAAATCTGACGAAAGTATGTAAAATAAAAAACATATTACGTACCTATCTGGTATATTTTTCGGCATATTCGTAACTAATTCAAGTGTTTTTATACGAAATTTGAAGCATAACACCAAAATGCAAACCACTAACACAGCAAATATGCGCAGCAGAGAGGCAGTAGATGTCAGCGCGACGCAGAACCATTGATCAGACCCATGATTTTCGCGCGCAACGCCTCTGTATCATTCAATTTCATTCGTTTTTGACCAAATACCTGTCTACGTATTCTATGTAATACATACATTTTTTTCAAATTACTAATTGGTACAAACATAATGTTTGCTTAAAGCATTAATTTGTGTAATGTAAATATCGGATTTCCAATTATTCACAGCTTAATTGTTTGAATAAAACCGTTCAACAATTTGAAACATTTTGTTCTATTCCTTCAACTCGCATTAAATTCTTCAAAATTTTAATGTATTAAACATTAAGATTAGCAGAAAAGTTGAAAACTCAATGCACAATCTATATTTTAAGTGATCGAATTGCAAATGATTGTAAATTCATTTTTTTATTTGGTGAGCCAATTTTCATTGTGATATGCGTAACGTTTACATAGGTTAATTAACATTTATTTAATTATCTGAGTTGCTAAGGCTTAAAAATCATTTTTTTAAAACTTTCTTTGTTCTTAAAAAATTAAGATGTTGCACAATTATATTATTAATTATGGCTTCGGTGATGGCGAGAAACAAAAAAATAATAGAACTTAAAGATTTTTATTAGCTTGTCGGACACTGTACGCCACCTTCCTTAATTGTTTTCACTTGCAAGATCTCGTTCAATACTTTTTTCTCAAAGTCCAAGAGTGCAGGTGGTTTTTTATACTATGAATTAAGGACTTATAAGATTTGCATATATACACTGAAATAAGAGAAAATATTTTTCATACCGTAATAATTAATGTATTATACTGATGATTATAGGATATTCTGTCTTGCTCTGGTTTCAACCCGATGCGTTCCAAATCTGTGACTACTATCTTCTTAAAGTACTTTTTATTACTGGTACGAATTGTTATTGTTCCATCATCTTCTGCGCTTACTGAATATACGCTCAGTGGATATGGTAAATTTCTTATACGCCACTCAAGCGAAGTCTTTGTTATCCTTCTAGAAATAAGTGGCTAGAAAATACACGTAGGATGTTAGTAGACGTACTAACCAATTTGAAATGTATTTTTGGGAATACACTTTACGAATCTATAACATAATCTTCACGTACAGCATTTGAACTTTCCTGTATACCACAGACTTCGATATTGTTCTGTCTGGGTTCAGGATCTCCAATTTCTACATTCCAACCTACATTCTGACCAAAGTTACCTTTTTCTTTCCATGCTCTTCGCACTAATACATTTGTTTCTAAGTGATATTCCTCTACCATTTCTCTGCCATCATCTAATAAAAAATGAATTTTTCTTTTCCCTAAAATTAAAAATTGTCCTTTAAAATAGTCAGTAAAATTAAAAATTGTCCTAAAAATAGTAGTTTCAATAATTATTATAAATTCAAAAATGTACGTGCACCTACTTAGGTTCAACACTTAGATTTCAGGGTTATAAAATCAAAAGCAGAACAACTTTGAGAATTTACCAAGTAAATTGAAATATGTTAGACATTTTGACAAAATGAAATTTGAATAAACGTCTAACAAGAGGATCAATTAATTCAAATAATAAATCATTTTACCATCTTGAATAATTGCTGTTTTTTGAGCACTTTGAATTAAATTAAACCACTGTTCAGCCGCCATTAGTACATAAATAAGTTACTTAGCAACTCTACTGCTGTATGCATACATATCCCTGCAATCGTAAACCAATGGAACTCCCTAGCGACGAGATAAAGGTAGAGAACACAGTTACCGACAAAATGAGACGAAAACATGGGTTTACGTGATGATATCATTTGAAAGAGGGAGGTTCAGTACAGTGCGTGAATATCAGACTTCATGAGAATTATGCAAACATTTGGTAATATAAGTCTTAGAAAGTAAGGAAAAAATTAATAGTTTCGAACCCATGGAATCCAATCGTTTTATACCATTGGATGATTTTTTTCGATGACAGTCTGACATTCAGACACTATACTGAACCTTCTTTTTCCGGATGATACCATTAAACATCGAGAAAGATGCTGATATAAGGTAGTTAAGTACCAGCCCGTAAAAGCATACCGTTCCGACATCAGAAATCATGATATCGATAACATAGAGCAAAAAATTTGATAAGTCTAGTTACACTGGTGCTTATAAGATAGCGCCTAAGTAGAAGGACTGTCAACATGGAATCGGAGCTAGATGCAAGCTTGGATTGTAGTTATGTCAGATGACTATTCGCTCTGTATGTATAATACCATGTTGCAGTACATGTAACAGTTAGTTCCTATTTACAAAGTCTTTCGTTATACGATTAACTTTGATCAGGTTTTTTTTAACATATTATACTTATATGTTTACAACAGCAATGAATAAATGCATTTTTTTAAATATTTCCTCTCTCTATTTATACTTTCCTCATACGTTTATTAAATGAAATATTTTGCTTCGATGCATCTTTATATTGTCATGTTTGTATAGTTTGCTCTACTTTAACCAAAATTTTGTACTTTCCTTCAACTTCAATTTCAGAAGGTATATTTTGAGTACATGACTATTTATTTACGCAATTTATTGATTTCATACGCTCATTTTACACGATACGGGTGCAATGTGTCAAAGAGAACGAGGTTATGATCCATTACAGATCCCAATCAAGTTAGGTTTAGGTTAGGTTTATTTTAAATGATACGGAAAAAGTTTTCTCTTTGTACATATAGTCATACCTCACCATAGTAAGCAATTCTGCTTCATCATAGTAATCATTATTATCCTCAAGGCCCAAGCAGTTGCTTTAGTAGGAGAACGGGAGATGCTCGAGAGAGACAGAACGAAACCAGCGGTATGTGTCCACATGGACAAGAAATCTAGGCCGTCTCACTTTACCGTTCTTGCGGTCTCACTCTTTTACGCATCCATACTTTTGCCTATTCGTACTTTTCCGTACTTTTCGCCCTGTAGGATTCTCGACCACACAGTCCAGCATATTTACGAACAATTATTAAAATTTTCGAAAACCCGTAAGCTACATTTTAAATAATACTTTCTAGTTAGTGAATTTACAAAATTTTGTTAATTCAGCCATCCCAATACTTGTCAACTGTGACGGGCAGCAATCAGTGCTCTACTCTACGAGAAGGATTTTCGAAAGCAATGAATAATTTCGCAATTCTATGTGATTTTTACTATTAAAAATTTGAAAAACGAAATTGAAACTTACAATCATATCTTCTTAAAAAGACTACACGTTTAATTTGTCAGGGTTATGTAAAGATTATGTCAACATTAATTTCAGCTTCAACTTCAATTTGAATTTCAGTTTCAATTTCAATTTTCAGGGTTATGTGAAGGTTATATCAAGGTTGTATAGGATAATTTCGAACTCTGCTTCTCGCTTGCTAGACTGGGCGGTTCACAACCCTATATCTCGGGCCACAAAGTGTGTAAGATGGGGGTGGTGGTGGGGGCCTTCTCAGCCGAGTTGCACTGTCATTGCAAAGGTGCAATATTCCCGAGGCACGGTCTAAGAAGTGCGCAGTAACGATCTGTGCAGGATGAGGATGTTGGTGATATTTCGCCTGGGCGTAACCATAGAAGCAACGACAATAACATAATTTATACCCGTTCAGTTCCTCAATTCATTTCAGCCTTACTCCAGAAGTGGTAATGTCGATGCGATAATAAAATACCATTTCCTATGTTATCCAGACCTACAAACAGCATTTAATTATATTCCTAGTTTTGTTTCTAACTTCGATAATTACGAAATTACTCATTGCTTACGAAACTTAAACTCCTTCTCGTACAGTAGAATAGTTAACAAGTACTGGGATGGCTGTATTAACAAAACTTTGTGGATTCATAAAGTAGAAACCATTACCTAAAATGTAGCTTACGGGTTTTCGAAAATTTTAATAATTCTAGAAATGATTGCCGTTTCAAGACGTTCGCAAATATGCTGGACTGTGTGGTCGAGAACCCTACGGGGCGTAAAGTGCAAGTCGAATATCGCGCCGCATGTTTCAGATTTGGAGTACCAGGCATATGGATGCGCGAAAAGAGTGAGAATGCAAGCACGGTAAAGTGAGACAAGCTACATTGTTCGTCGGTATGACTTGTTTTGCTTGCGGTTGCGCTGATACCGTACTCTCTTGCTCACTCGGAACTTCCTCTCTTTGTCTAGAACCGCGAGAGCAGCACTGTTTAGCTGTGAAGCATCAACCAATCAGATTTCTCTACCTGCTTCATGCTATTAAGCTGGTTGCCCCCGCTTCACTCACTAAGGTGAGGCACTACTGTAGTTGGCAGTACTTCCCTTCTTACTCGATCGAGTTCCTTTCTCATACCTAATAGAAAACGCTGATGGCTCCATTTCGTATTTGTCAAACAGCTGCACATCTTTGGATGATACCATTTCTGTAATCAAATCTGTATGGCCAGATACCGACCTGCCGAATCCGTAAAGTCACGTGACTACCCTAGCCCCTTAAAACCAGTTTAACGAGCAGCTGATCTTTGATATCCAATCACTATGTCCAAGGCGGAAGATGTGTGATGGCCGTATTTTACCACATATTTGCAGGGAAACACGGCTTCAAAAAACTACAAAAATCACGAAAGAAACACTTTAATACAAGATGAATACCTTGATCCATACAAAAGCAAGGGTAGTTGGCCATGGTAAAACAATCCGACGTATGTACAATTCATTCTATTCTATAATAAATGTAGAATTATGGTATATAAATTTCCAAAGCGTGCTTTTTACATATCGTACATGTTATATTTATATAACAGGTATAAATTTTTTAATAGAACTATTAATATCTGTTTGAAATCGGCAAAAACTTTCCACGCTATTCGAACGTTTTCACTTTCTTAGGCTTACAATTTACATAATTATTTAAGTGGTAGGTTATGTTGTGAAATAAGTTTTAATAATAGCGGTTTCGTATATTCACGATATAATACTACATACTATTGAACGGCAACTTTATCGTCGATAGCGTGTTTTATGGTATTATTATATATATACCATTATGGTATCCTGTTAAAAATCGCAGCCGTTAGAATAATTATTTAACAATTTTGTGTATTGTATATAATATTTTACAGAATATGGCTGTTTCAAATTATGGTACAATACCAGTCAAATAAATGGAAGTTTAGCACTCGTTTACACTGGTAAAAAAGATTCGTGGGACAATAGATTATTGATACACTCCAAACTAAGAGGAGGCTGTAACACTATAAGTACACCATATTTACAACTTCGCACATTTTATGCAACGCCGATATGGAACGGGCAAGAATCATCTTCCAAAGTGGAGGACACAGTAAAAAATATCAAAGAACAAAAAGATTTGAAAGATAAAACAGAGGGAACCGTTGCTCAGACTACTACAAAAGCTGTAGTAGAGAAAGTAACGATATGGCAGAAAATCAAGGGGGAAATTATTCATTACTACCATGGGTTTAGATTATTGGGTCTGGATATGAAAATTTCAGCAAAATTAGTTTGGCGAATTTTGCACGGCAAAGAACTTAGTAGAAGGGAGCACAGATTGGTAACTTAGCAATTGATGTTTTGTACTTCGATAGACTATACATATTAACATTTAATTGACTCAACTATTGTGATCGATAACTGTTTTCAGCTTATAAAAACAACTGGAGACATGTTCAGGCTAATTCCCTTCTCTGTTTTCATCATTGTTCCTTTTATGGAGTTCCTATTGCCAATTGCTATCAAGCTTTTCCCTGGCTTGCTACCATCTACCTTCCAAACAGCTACAGAAAAAGAAGACAAATTGAAACAAGCATTGAAGGTCAGAATTTATCTCTATCATGTGTAAACAATTTTATCCGAATTTTATCGTCGAGTATCTCATTTCAGATCAAAATCGAGATGGCTAAATTTTTACAAAAAACATTGGACGATATGGCAGTGCAATCATCAGACTACAAATCAAAGAAGGCCAAAGAATTCGCAGAATTTTTCTATAACGTTCGGAGTTCCGGCACCCCAGCATCGAACGAAGATATTATGCAATTTAGCAAACTCTTCGAAGACGAAATTACGTTAGACTCTCTTTCCCGACCACAATTGGTCGCATTGTGTAGAGTTCTAGATGTACAGACTCTAGGAACAACGAATTTCTTACGATTCCTGCTTCGAATGAGACTCAGAAGTCTTGCAGCGGACGACAAGGTGCTCAGTCTTTTCTAGATTGGAGTTCTATCCTTCGTACGTCTTGTAACATATTATATTCCATCTTGTCTACAACTTGCATACTTTTTTTAGCTGATAGAGAAAGAAGGTCTCGATTCTCTAACCAGAAGCGAGTTGCAGCAAGCGTGCAGAGCAAGAGGAATGCGGGCATACGGTTTGCCGGAAAGCAAATTAAAGGAGCAATTGTCTCAATGGCTGGATCTTAGTTTAAACAAGAAGGTCCCGCCATCTTTATTGCTTCTCTCGCGAGCACTGATGGTCCCGGAGACGATACCTATGTCGGACAAGTTGAAGGCTACCATTTCAGCCCTTCCTGATACTGTTGTCGCACGTACTCAGGGCGCAATCGGTGAAAAGGAGGGCAAAATGGATCATAAGACGAATATCGAGATCATTAAGATGGAAGAACGCAAGATCGAGGAAGAGCGGCAAGAGAAGAAAGAGATCGACCCGCAACCAACAGTGTCTACATACAAACCTGACGAAATTACAAATACAGACGTGAAAGTATTAGAGCAGGCTTTGGATAGTATTGGGAAGGTTTGTACAAACAAAAATTTGATGAATTAGTCTAGTAGATAGAATTGATATTTACAGAGGAATAATTTTACAAAGGACAAGAAGTCGATGTCGGTGGAGAAGGAGGAGCTGAAGGAACTGAAGGAAGAAATGGCCGAGTACCAGGAGGACATAAAAGAGCTTCACGAGATCAAAGCTGCCGCAAAGGGTCAAGAGGACATAGAAGACATCAAGGAGTCCAAGGGTGCTAAACGATTATTCAATAAAGTGAATAAGATGATCCGAAAAATGGACGAGGTTCTGGAACAGCTGGAATCTGAGAAAATTAAACAAAAAGCTGGTACCATCGACGTGGAAAAATCCCCCTCCGCCAAGAGTGCGGAGGAATTGGTTAAGATAGAAGAACTAATTACAGCCATTAAGAAAATTCAAAATGTACCCGATGAGCATCGATTAGATCGCATAGTAGAAATCTTAGCGAAAATGGATGATGACAGGGACGGATCTATAAAGATTGAAGACGTTCTCAAGGTAATATATATGACTATTTAAAAGTTTAGTTTCTGTAAAGTACAATATAAATTTTTATTACCTATTTATAGGTAGTGGAATTAATTGGAAAGGAAGATATTAAGTTAAGTAAGAAGCAAGTGCACGAACTCATCGAATTAATTGATAAAGAGGAAATACTGGAAGTAGAAGAACAGATACAGAAGTCATTGCAGAAGGACTCGACAGCTGAGACGGAAAAGCCATCTCAAGAAAAGTATGTTGCACCAAAATCTCCTGTTCCTGCTACGCCAGTAACTACTGAAAAAGATTTTGGCAAAGAGGAACTGGACGAAGACTATGGAGCACGCTCGCCCGAACAGGCAAGAGAAAAAGCGGTTCTTAAGAGTGACTCCTCTTCCGATCCAGTGAGAAATCCTTCGTTAACCCCTGGCGTCCCACCGACGACAAAAAAAGCGGAAGGCTCTAAGCAGCTATGATCACCGCACAATAAACTATAAATTAATGTATGTAATTATTAATACAATCTTTATATCAGACCTTAATCGAAGGCGATATTGCGTTATTATCTCTATAAATATTTTTACACATACATTTCTTTAGCGAATGGGTTTCTACATATAAACTTGCACTATATATATAGTGGAAGTTTTTTAAGAAGGCTTCGGACACATGGAAGTCTTCCTAGAATAACTCCAATAGTTACATGTATGCTTTAACAGGCTTCATAATGAAATGCTGACACATACATGATCTATCTTTGGTAATATAGAACAATTTTACTATGAACATTAGAAAAGAACCTTTATCCAACTTTTGTATTTATTACTACAGCAGATTCTGAATTTTTTTCATTAAGACTGCGATGCATTTAATAGCATCAATGTGGTATTTGGTCTCTGGGAATTGAAAATTGTGCTGGTCACAAAAAAAAACGTTATTCTGCTTACAAAATTTTTAATTGACAACGGAAAAAGAATTTTTCTTTAAATTGTGCGTGACAATACTTTAATTATCTAATTAACAACGAAATTATTTTACGAGCACTTTGTTTTTTGTTTTAACGAAGCTCAATTCCAAAATATTGTACTACCGTAAGGAATCATTCCATCTGTCTGAGTATTGACTATTGTTACAGAATTATTAATTGCAACTATGAACCTCTGTGATCGAGGTTTAAGGAAAAGTATAATGTACATTTATAGATAACATAATTTTATTAACTGTAAATTACATGAACAGGGATTATTGTCCACCATGTGTATGTATTGAATATAAAGAGAATATTTATATAAGGCATACAACATTTAACTACTAAATAGTACCTTGCATACGAGAGAAAAATTAAAAATTAGACCTTAATTGAATTTGAAAGTAAACAAATTAATAAAAATGAGAATGAAACACTGCTAAGA